CGGCGCCGCGGCCGTCGGGGGCCGGCGGCCCGGGGGCGCCCTGGCCCGGGGCGGCCGCGAGCTGAACGGCACCGTCCGGGCGCCCGGTGGCCCGGAGGCGGGGAGCCGGCGGGGGCAGCCCGCGGCGGCGGTGGCGGCGGCGGCCAGCGCGCCCGTCACCTACGAGACGTGCTGGGGCTACTACGACGTGAGCGGCCAGTACGATAAGGAGTTCGAGTGCAACAACAGCGAGAGCGGCTACCTGTACTGCTGCGGCACCTGCTACTACCGCTTCTGCTGCAAGAAGCGCCACGAGAAGCTGGACCAGCGCCAGTGCACCAACTACCAGAGTCCGGTGTGGGTGCAGACGCCCAGCACCAAGGTGGTGTCGCCGGGTCCCGAGAACAAGTACGACCCGGAGAAGGACAAGACCAACTTCACCGTCTACATCACCTGCGGGGTGATCGCCTTCGTCATCGTGGCCGGCGTCTTCGCCAAGGTCTCGTACGACAAGGCCCACCGCCCTCCTCGGGAGATGAACATCCACAGGTGAGCGCGGCCGCCCGGGGCCTGGCCCCAGACTCCCGGCGGCCTCACCCCTCTTTCCAGGCTTCCTTGTCCTCTTGCCATCCCCCGCTCCCCGAGTCTCTGTGTCTCTGTCTCTCTCTCGACTCTTTTAAGTCAACTGAGCACCCCTTGCCTCTTTGACAAGCAATGAATCGGAGCCTCTGTTCCCTCTTCTCCATTTCCTCAGAACCGGGAACGCATGCTTTGGTTGGTAGGGGGATTTGCAGGGCAGAGTAGGGAGTGGTGGAGTCCGTGAGTCTGAGTCTAAGAATTGTACACATTCCGTAAGCCTGGGTAGGGGTCCAGGGTGTAGTTTTCAAGGCAGGTGGGCGCCTCGGTGCAGGCTTTTACTGCATTCGGTTTCTTGAGTCAAACCAGAGCATCATCTTGGATGTAGGAGATTGAACGCTGTTGGAACCTTACTGAAAAGAGTGTGAACTGGGTGTTCCCGTGTGTTGGAGATGCGGGTGATATGGAAAAGAAGCCTCCTGGGGTGACAAGGAATGCAGATCTAACCATTCCATCTTGACCAAGGGCATATGGTGTCTATTCATTGCATCCTGCTGAGTGGGATGCTTCGCTTTCCCGCTGAGACTGGAGGACTTGTTCTTTTAAACCCTGTGGGCAGAACTCTCTGAGTTAACACTTCTTGCTGTGTTCAACCCGGTGGGCATCTTTCACTGTTTCCATAGGGAGGCAGCGGGAGCTGCCTCCCACCGAAACTTATGCCAAGAGCTTGAAATATGGTTGTGCAGGGTTCCACCCTGACTGCCTCCCTCCCACCCCGCCCTCCAGCTCCCTGAGCGCCCCTTGGGAACGGGAAACCGGCTTCTCTTTACAACTCTGTTAATGATGTGCCCAGTGGGTGCAAACTCAGCTCTGCTTCCAGTCCCCTCGTGCTGATGAATGGCTGGACGTGGTTCAACAGTCTTTCAAGAAACAAACCCTGCCCCGGGACATGCCTCCATCCCTGGCACATGGTGTGGGCACTGCCCTAGTAATCGGGACCACCCCACACCGCCCAGACCAGTTTCTCTGAGTTTGCCTGGCAGGCCCGCACCCAAGCCCTACAGCTGTAGCTCATCTCCGCACTCTGCCTGTTATCCTTTCGACCTGAAAACCTTCCCCCGCTGCTGCGGACATTAGTCACCTGTACCTTGTTGAAGAGAGAGAAAGGCAGATAGAAATTTCTGGGCGTGATTTCTTTCCCCCCTGGTTACTGTGGGTGTTGAGAAAAGATGATACTCTCTGGCGGATTTTGAGTCAAATCCACAAAGTGTGGGTACTTTTCATGTTGACAGACTCAGGTGTTGGGATCGGGTGCTTCTGAGAGGAGATGGGTTTCTCAGCCTCTCTCGTTAACCCTGAAGTAAGTCAGTCTGTGGCTGGTTGGTCCTGGAAAATGATGGAAGAATCGTGGCACATGGTCTGTGGTCAGTGCTGGCTCTTAAAAGCAGAGGGTCGGTGGGATGGAGACAGCAAAATCAGGACAAGACGCTCCCTCCTTTGGGTTTTGTCTGGCAAAGAATTCCCTCTCTTGGCTCCCCTTCCTGAAGCAGATGTGCCTGGTTCTTCTGCCTCTGCCTCTGCCTCTGGTCCCCTTGTTTGTTCACCTTCCCCTTCTTCTATGCTTCTGGCCTCTCATCACACCTCCTGCCAGTGGATTCCCACGAAGCTTTCTTTGGGTTTCTCTCTTCCCCGAGCCGTTCTCCTCTGCACCCTTGGGGAGACCTGCCCCCTGCCCTGCCCTCCACCTCCTACTGAATTTATTCATCATCACCTGGGAGGATGCTTGATGGCCTTTCAATGCTGGTGTTGGCCTGCGTTCTATGGGCTTTGACCTTGGAGATGTCACTGTCCCCCCACCATGCTGACTCCCCAACCCACTCCAAACTAGGGTGACTAGTGTGTGTTCAGGTGTGCGCCTCAGTGGTGATGCCGTGGGGGCAGTTTCTCGCCGAGGTTGGGAAAGAGAGGCAGCTGAGGGAAGGGCGATGCATCTCAGCCCTCAGACCATTATGTAAATGTGGGCTGCTTCTCCCGCAAATTCACCTCCTGATTTTATTCAGTTCACAGCACCTCTTCCAGCAGCTGCAGTCTCGCCTGTTCAGTGCTTGGGAAGCCATCATGTTGATGCTTGTTAGGTAGGGGACGGAGCCTGTCTTTGTGTTTGGGAGTGGCGTGGGAGAGAGGGCAGAGCACGAGCTATCCATCCGGGACACTCCCTGAATGACCTTGGGCAGGTCGGGGAAACATCTTTCCATCCTGGATAACTCAGGCACAGCGGCATCCCACCCCAACCTCTCCCTTCCCGGGCGTGTCGGGGTGCGTGTGCACATTTGCAGGTGCAGCCCCCCGACTCCCAGGCGTGCATGAGTGGTATCACCACGCTCCCACTTTGCTCACGCCTCAGAGGTCGTTGCTTGCTGTTTCAGGGAGTTTGGGGTCCAGGTTGCCTTGTTGGGGACCTGGGGTCGGGAAAAGGAGAGAACGATGGAGAAGGAGACAGATATTCACACCATAATGGGTCCTCCCTGGGGAAAGTGAAGGAGAAGGAATGTGTACTCTTCAGAGGTCCACAGAAGAGGTGGGTCGTGTGCTCGGTTCCGTACTCCTTGAAATAGTTCAGCAAAGGCATTTCCTTTCTGGAAAGGCAAAGATCATTTTACTGATTGCAGCATGTGAGCCTCTGCGAAGATGGTGGTTGGGCAAAGGGGCTGAGCGGGAGGGATGTTTGTGGGAGTGTTAGAAGGGTGAAAAGGAAGATGCTGCCTTAGGACGAGCCATCTGCCTCCTCTGTCCCCCTTAGGGCGGGCTTTCTTCTTCCCGCTCCAGCCCCCACAGGGAGGAAGATTTAGTCTTTTCCAGAAGTGATTAGACCTTGCCATCTGTGTGAGAAGTCCCACCCCACGCCCCCCCCCCCCCCGCCGTGTCTGTGGGGCAATCATCGCCTCTCACGCCAGAGCACGTGAGCACAGACTCTCAGCTGGACTTCAGGGAGGGGAAAGAGGTGGAGCCGAGTTCTGGATCTGGAGAGCCCTGGACGTCGGGTGCCCACCTTTCCCACCCAGAACCCCATTTCCCACCAGGATCTTGGCCTCACCTAGCCCTTCTTCCCACCTGCCCGGGCTGAGGCTCATGCTGCCGGCCCGCAGGCGTCCGCCCGTCTCAGTGTTTCCCGAGTGGCTTCTGCGGTGCTTCCCTGGGGCTGCCTCTTCAGTGAGGGGCTGCCATGGCCTGCAAGGACAGGGGCCTGCCCAGGACACGGCCTCAGAGGCGGGCTCCCTGTTGACATTGGGCTCCAAACCAGCCGTCCCACATTCCCACCCGTTCCTTCCTCCTCGCCCTGTGTTCATTGGTCAGAGTCTTGGAGATGAGAATCATTCTGAGCGAGGAACTGTGTGGCCTTTTAAAAAGATGGCTAATCAACAGATAAGTCAGGAAGCTACTAGGATGCCGTAGGTGCAGTTGGTGGGGCCAGAGGTGCCCGGGGTCCTCCCACTGCCTCCATCCATGAAGGATGGAGGAATTTAAGGTGGGGATTGGTGTGGAGAAGTACTCAGGGCTGAGGAATGAAAAACCTGGATGACCGATGTTGTAAGGGAAAAGGAAGCATATTAGGAGGCGACCCTGGTAGCCATCAAAAGGGACCTTCATCTTTGGGTTCCTCTGCTTGTTTCTAGAAGCATCAAGGGAACACTGTGTCCTACCTTCTCTTCTTCCAGAAATTAATTACAAAGCCCAAGAGCTCTGTTTTGTCCTCACGGACCACGTAATTGCAGTAGCGGGACCCCTCTGCCGGCTGATTTAGTGAGCTCTCTTCCTAGCTTCCCGGGCAATGAATTGTCAAATCACGCCAAACACTCCATTTTTTGAAGCACGTTGGGCTCACTGTAATGAATTGATCCAAACTGAGAGTCAACTTGTTTTTTTTTTTTTTTTTTTTAACTTCAAAGATAGCAGTTGTTGGGAAAGAAAAAGAAAGCGTCTTGCCTTGGACTGAAGGTCTTAGCCTTGCATGTTTTCCATTTTCTTTGAGTAAGAAAAAAAAATGCACAAAGGGAACGCAGTGAAATTGTGGAAGAATTTAAGAAGGCTTATGGAGGAAGGGGTTCGGGGAAGGATACCAGGAAGACAGAAAGAAACAAAAATAGTAAAGGGAGGAAGGTAATCAGGTGAGAGAGGTGGGTGGCATTGCTCAGATCTGTGCTTGGCTTCCTCCTGACCCCTGCAGCTACGTGCATATGTATTCATTCAACAGATGAGCCCTGCCCACCCGCTGTGGGCAAGGAACAGTTCAGATTATAAAACGTAAGCCTGTCGAGTGTATGTTACCTTTGACCCGCGAGGCAAAGCAGAGTTCATTCTCCATGGAGCAGGTCAGCCATGCAAAAAGCCCTGCCCTTGGACAGCCCTCCCTGGAACATTGCTTGCTGTCTTCCTGGCCTCTCCCACCTCACCCCAGCCCCAGAAGGCATGCACGTCGGTCCCTTTTCCCTGCCCACAACCCTGTCCCACGGCCAGAGCACATTCGTTCGGAGGAATCTGCTGCTGAGTTACTAAGACTTGACCCACAGTTCTCTCGGCTGCCACAACACAGGAGGAGAAAAAGTCCAGCGCGCTGTTTCCAACCTGTTTTAGTGAGAGATCAAGTGAGCGTGCAGTCGATTTCAGATCAGTTGTGCAGGAAGTCGTGATGAGGAGCTGAAAAAGTGAACTGACCGAAAGAGGTGATCCCAGACAGACGTACCCTGGGATCCAGAAGAGAAGGGAGCTACGCAGAAAGAAGCTTCATCCTCCCAGTGCCCCTGCCGGCTTTTCCGGGGCCTGCCAGGATGGCCCTGAGATCTTCACTCTCCGGCTTGCCACCGTCATCAGCCAGAGTCCCCACTGCGTGTTAGAAGTTACACCCAATCCCTGGCTGCTGGGTGTCACCACTGGCCTTCTCTGCCACCCCCCCCCCCCAACCACCACCAAAGTCC